CGCACATGCGATACTGCCAGGTCAGCTTCCTCGCGTCTCTTCCCGACCGTAGGGATTGGATCCCCAATTCTGCCCTCACGGCTGCATTACTTGTGCGCCTGGAGCATCCTAGGATGGTTTTCGCTGCTTTCATCTGCGCCGCCTCGAGTTCTTTCACTACCTTCTTATTTCCTTCCCATACTTCTCCGGCGTACTCTTGTGGCGGTACGATTACGCTCTTCAAAACCGTCAATTTGATGCGTGTATCGAGGTGCCGGTTAACACCGGGGGGCGCGGCCTGTTTTACAACGTCGTTGCCAAGCGACAAAAACCCAACCCCGATGGCAAACACCGGGAGGGGCGGCTTGTTTTACAACGTCGTTGCCAAGCGACGAAAACCCAACCCGATGGTAAACACCGGGGGGGGGGGCATGAGGGGGGGGGGTCAATGGCTAGAGGCCCACAGTTCAAGCAGAAATGTAGAGCGTCTACGTACATCCCCATCCATCCAGGAAGATGGGCACGTCAGGACTTCGTGACGCCACAAGTTGGAAACGAAGACATCGTACAATCACTGGAATCAACGAGTGAGGCAAACACACCTGGCCCGTGCTCGGGGCAAGGGCAAGATTCCGCAGCAGCAGCAGCGTGCGCGTCACCAGCACCGAGTACGTTGTTGTCGCCGCCGTCGCAGCAGCGGGGGAAGCCGCGCGGAGGCAGACAGACAGCAAATCGCCGACCATGTCACAAGCACCTTCCACCTACGTTGTAGGAAGAACAGAAACGGCAGTGCTCGTGAGGTCATGTATCTCCCAGCAATGATTGACCAGCCGAAGAAAAGGACGAAAGCCTACTTCTTTCGGGGGGCTGGCGAACACAACGCATCGGTGCAAATTGGTAAATTCACTTGTCAAATTGTCGAAAGCGAGGTTGGATTGCTAGGAAGTTCACACCCAGTGACGGAGATGCCAGCGTTCGCTGGTAAGTACCCGCCTGAATCGGAAGTGTTAGTTGCAAGCAGCAGCAAGCTAGCGGGTCACCACCACGCCTGTTCGAACCTCACAGTCCGCACTTGGGAGAGCATACGGTGAAGACCCACAAAAACGTCAGAAAGCACTCCTCTCAGAGGTGCTCCTCCTCCCTCGTAAGGCGGCCGACGGAGGCAACGACCCCCTCGAAGTCCAAGGAACACGGTCGTCGCCAAAAGACATGCCGGGACAGCACACCTGTATCAATGCCTTTTGACCCTCCGCTCTGAGCGAGGAGTTCACCAGAACGCCTGTCAGGTCTCCAATACGCCGAGCCAAAGTGGTGAACGATGCCGTCCCGGGCTTGATTTTCGTGGCCTTTGCGCAGAGCCGGCTGTGCCCGAGCGGAATATCGGAGGGGAGTTGGCGAGAGGGGAAATACCGCGTCAGTTTTGGTCTTGTCGTTCACAATAGAGATGTGAGAGCAGCACACCATAGGTAGGCTGCAACGCACAAAGGCTTGTTCGAGGAGAATCGGCAACAGGGAGAAGGACCGCGAAAACTTTGCTTTTCCGTCGCGAGAGGCTTTTGACGGGAGCGATACACCGGCAATACAAACGGTAGGGGGAAAAGCATGGGGAACAAAAAATAAGGCGCTGCATCCAACAATTATGGATAGCTCAGATGCTGTTGGGCCCCTTGAACGTGCGTGCAACAATGATTGTGTCGAGTACCGGTGTTCCGGTGAACTCCCTGTGGCTTGCCTGATTTGGGCGAAGGCGTCCACAAAGAATCCGGACTGCGACAGCACCGTTCGGCACTCGTGAGAAAGCGCGCAGCTGCGGACCACGTCGCAGGCTGCCTCGGTGGCGGCTCGCCCGTAAGGTCCTGATGAGGACGGGGATACGAATACCGATTAAAACGGAGACACGTTGATAACGGTGACGCAGGACGTGTGGACCGGAAAAAACGATACCACGGGATCAGGGTTGAAAGCTGACGGCTCACGGAAAAATCCATTACTCTTGCATGGTTTTGGAACCGTTCGGGCAAACCAAGGTGGAAAAAAATCATGTGCGTGACTCTGCGTCCCGCCAGCAGTCTCTCCCTGAGCCACCAAAGGCACACACCGCGCGAAATACCGGCAACGAATAGCGCTTAAAAGTGCTCGGGAAAGCTCTCTAATTACGTTACGCGGGGAACCGCGGGGGACACGGTAAACGGAACACGGTGACGGGTCGGGATGGGAACGCACCCGCGTCGGCCCGTCCTTCTCCGCCCGTCGATGGTGAGCCGGACAACGCTAGTGCAGCGACGCGGTGTAACAACGATCGCGACGACCGGGGCCACTCTCCTCCTCCCTCTGCTCCAGAGGCCTCGGGTGACGATGATCCTTTGGTTGGCACACCGTTTGGGTGGGGCAAGAGGGCCGTAGATGGAAGTGCCGGATTCATTGGTATGTGCACACCGTTGTAATACCCCGTGGTAGCGTGTTGCAACGGGTCATCTCGGGGCTCACGACAAGAACTGTTGCAGTAGATATTGCCAAACCAGGCATAGGTCCGGGGGGTGTGTGTTATCTTGTGCCATATACGGTATGCAATCACAACACAAATACGCAAGAAAAAAACAGCCATGTGCTACGCATGTTTGGCAATCTACCACCACAATGCGTAGTGGTTGACAAAAAAATAGCCCAATCTAAAAGAGGCCTCGTCCCATCTCGGAGCACAATTGAACTGCCAATATTCCGAGCACCACCACGGCGCCGGCAGGAACGTACTGTACTCTTACCCTCTGGACCCGCGAAAATGAACGCCTTCTTGCCCTCGGGGCACGATCTCGCGACGCAGCTCGCCAGCCCTAGCAACGCCTGCAGCAACACCGGCGTCTCGAGCATATTCCGTCTCTCCGAAGAAGGCATCGTGCCACAGGTATCGACCGAGGTGCTGCTACGGCGGTGGTTGTGGTAGTCATGCCGACGATGACTGGATGAGGAGCGAGAGCTGTGCGCGAGCTGCGAGGCTAGCGCCATCGGCCACGCCTGGGGGCAGGGGTTCCAGTCGGGGCAAGAAGGGCGGGGTCCGGGGGAATGTTTCGTCACCCCCTCGCAAGCTATCGGCCGAATGAAGACGACGGCTAGGTCGTACTAGGATGGCTTGTGGGAGGGCGCGACGTTCGAGAACGCGCTCAAGAAATGTTGGAGGGGTGGGGGGGGGGGGCATCGGGACAGGCAGCAAGAACGGTCTCTTCGCAGGGCAAAGAACGCGCGGGCATGCACACCCCAAGACAGTCGCCACATGCGCCTCTAACACCTCGTGCTCGACTAAGCAATCAGCACGTCAGATGCACCACAAAGTGGCCAGGGTTTCCCGCCTAACACTCCTCTTCCTCTCAAGAAACACACATATCTTCGGTGGCAAACACCAAGCCTCAAAGCCCGCCTCCCAAGTCAAACCTAACCACAGCCCCCGTTTCGCTGTGCGGAAAGAAGCCCAGCGAGAGTTTCGGCCGGAATCTGGTCGCTACCTTCCAAAGTAGCTGGGGGAGACGAAGGCGTAACGCCTCGGCCCGTCCCTCCGGGCCTCCGATCGCCGACGCCATCAGAGCCGCCACCATGTAGAACTCCCTCTCCGGGCCCTGTTTTTGTTACGTGTGGTAGCGTTGGCCGGCCATGGGGTTTCGGCGTTGTTGGCGGGGGACACGGAGGGGTCAGTCGTTAGAAAGAGTGTAGGGGCAAGGGGCGTCTGGTAAACTACAGTTCAAGGATGAGTCCACCAAATCACGGGGAAAGAACTTGCTTCTTCGACTTTCGTGAAAAAGGGCACTGTTCCCGAAACTCCTCGAGACTTCCCGGGTTGTGAAGTGATGAACACACGCACCCACTTACCAACCCTCTTTCGACAGACACCACAGGCGCCTCCGCCACCTTCAACGGTGGAGATGACGGCAGCGACGGCGGCGATGACAACGACGATGGTCGATAACGCCCTTGTCCCGTAGGCGTCGATGGTTTGCTTGTTCGCGGCGCCGTTCCGGCTGAGGGCTTCGATGATGTCGCCGTCACAAGCTTGGCATTGGCCGTCGGAATCGGCGGCTTTCTTCCCGCGTACTTGTTGCTGCGCTTGCCCGTAAGTCCCCGGCCCTCACCACGGCCGCGGGCATCGGAGCTGGGTGAGGTCGGAGACGATGGCGTCGCCGTCGTCTTCTTCTTACCCCCAGCCGGTTTCTTGTGCTTGGCCTTGAGGCTTTCCAGGTGCCTGGAGGCGTTCTGGAGCGTTTCTCGTCCGTGGCCCACGGTGGCTATCTCACCGAGTAGAGCCTCCAACGCCACGGACAGGTCACCTATACATGGTTTGTGTTATTGTTGTTGTTGTTGTTGTTGTTGTTGTTGTTGTTGTTGTTGTTGTTTTGCAGCTGCTGCTTCTTCTTCTGCAAACTACTGCTCCTGGTGGTGCCGGTGGTGCACAATGGCGATGGCGGTGCCGGTGGTGCGCAATGACAATGGTGATGGCGTCTAAACCGATTATGATGCTCCGACACAGTACGTCAAATGCCGTACCGACCGAGCGGATAATCCTGGGACGTGATATGTAGCTGTGGGTTAGCTTGACGTGCGTTTCATGCACTTTGGCCCAGCTGTCACGTAGATACAGTGCCCGTTGAGAGTCAAGCGAGTCAGGGACCCGGTGCTTCGGCAACTGTTTGGGGTAGATTTTTCAGCTGAAAGCCAGATGTACTTCAAAAGAAGACACGAGATCGGCAATCGAACAACATGCGCTTCGAAGGCAAAAAAGGGTGCCGTTCACGAAAGAAAAGAAGGGCATGACAATGAGAATGTCAATACGCCACATAGAACGCGTCGACGACCACACTCAAGTAACAGCAAAAAAACAACCAAAAATCACACGGAAGAGGGAGAATATACTCAACAAGGCGGAACACCGATAGATAACCGCATCGACGACGGCAGTCCAAGCAGGAATCGTGCCGGCCCAACAACGGGTGCACACCTATCAAGCCAGAAGTGACCGCCAAGGCTCGAAGGGCATCGCTGCTCTCCAGGAGAGGGACCAAGCACCGTCGCCGCAGCTCGGCCTCCGCAGAAAACGCCTGCTGCCATCCGCCAAGAGGAACGGGGTTAAATTCTTAAACGACGACATTTCCCTTCCATCTACTACTGTGCTACAAAAAAACATCATAAACGAACGACACAAGGTTCGGCTGGAACACCCAAAGTGAAAAGTTAAGGCGCGGCCAAGGACAAGACGCCAGAATTCAATCATATTCAAGTTTCACGTGCTTTTTCGCTGTGAGTGCACGTGATTGTGCTCCTTTCCGTTGATCATCACGGAGGGCATAAATGTTCGGCAGAAAGGACAAACGAGGGTGCGACGTTTGCTCGCGAGAGTCCGAGAAAAATAACAGCAATCGAGGTTGAACTTTTGAGTTGTTTTCGTCAAGCGAAATGTTCCACAGTTCTAGACTTGCCGGGTCCACGGGGGGCGCCACCCGCACAGCAAAGCGAGAGAGCAGACGCGGTCTTACCGCATTTCTCTTCGCCCCAGGAGCGGTGGTGCGAGTCAAAGCCACGGCCTCCTCCTCCAAGAGGACGGCGGTCAGCGTCAGGGCCTTCTCGCAAGCTAGGTCTAGAGAGCACCGCCAGTCCCGAGTGGCGAGCATCGCCGCCAGAAGAAGCTTGGCTTCGGTCTTGGTCTAGACAGGATGGAACGCCAAGCGGAATGCAAGGATTAAGGTTGATCATTGGGTGCCACAAGCCTCACACTGTGGCTGGGGGCGCGGAAGGGGTGTTGGTTGACAAAAAACAGAAAACAGACTTTGGGTCAACTCCAAGCGAGGACAAAATATACAGAATCGACGCGCAAACGCTTGAACCATGCGCGGCTGTTCCAAATTGTACGCATCCCCACCAAGCGTCAACCAAAGATTCTCACCGCTTCAGTACAGCCGTTCCCGCAACGACGCGAAACGCCTCCGTCCCCTTTCACGCCATTCCCCGAAGGTGTCTCCGCCAGCACGACTCCAAGGACCTCGAAAACGGCCTGGGAAATCGCCGAACAACCGCCGTCATCGCCGGAGACCACAGCGCTGTCGGTGCAACGAAGCAGGCACCTCAGGGTTGCGCACCCCTCCCGGACCACGCGCACGGCCCCCTCGCACGGGCTGTCCCTGTCCGCCGTCCCCTCGCCGCCGCGAAGCGCGGCGGCGGCCGCGACGAGGCAACGGACGAGACCCGCCAACAGCGGCGTTCTCTGGAGCAAGGCCTGTCGCACCATCGCCCAGACGTCAACGCCACCGCTCCCTGCCGGGGCCATTGCCGATGGCCGGTTCGAGCCGACCGATGCGGGAGCAGCAACCGCAGCACCGCCGTCGTCGTGATCAGTGGCGTGACTCCCCGCTGCTGAGGCCGAAGCGTCGGGTGTACAGCCCCACTCCGCCGCCGATGCCGCCGTTTGCTCGAGGGGCCCCGGCGGTTCTTCGAGGGAAGGCGGGGTGCTGGCGGCAGGGGTGGGTCGACGCGTCGAGACGGTGGGGCGAGAGACGACAACCACACGGAGAAGAGCAAGCGCCGCGGCCTGGGCGTTTAGATACGCCATGACAGCCTCGGCGGGAGAGGATGCCAGCAGCGAGCTCCAGCCGTCCCGCCGCGACAATCTGGCGGGGGATCAGGAGGAAAAGGCACGGGACGTTGGGGCGTCAAGAGCTAGTACAGGGGGCTCCGCCAGTCGTCGCACACCGTAGTTGCACGCATCATCCCAAGGCCAGTACTCGTCGCTGTTGCCTGCGGCCGCTGTCTCACACGAGTCAACGAGTAAGACGTGGGCCCAACTGCAATGCCACAACTCGAAGCAACCTGGGAGAGCCAATTTTGTAGAAACAACGAACAAGAAACACCAGCCGCATCAGCCGCATCAAGAGTGAGAGCAAGCACCCCGTCCACCTCCGGCGAACACACATGGGCTCGAAAATTGCCCCACCACACTGCAAGACAACAAGCGCGTCCTCACCTGCCCGACGAGCCTTCGACGGGTAACACCTCCCCGACAATGTGCACGCAGGCCTCCAAGCAGCCCGAGGCCCAAAGCACCTCCAACAGCCTCCCGAGCCTCTGCCCACAGCAGTGCTGCTGGAGCTCGTGCTGGTCGTCTCGTCGTGGCTCCTCCTGCGATTCTCGCTGCTCCCCTAGCGGGCTGTCCCTGTCTGCGGTCCCTGGCAGCTTCGACCGGGCAGCGGCATCGGAGATGTCGACTGCGGCAACGACGACCACCACGACAAAGCGCAGAGAGGCCGCTGCAACCGACAGCGATCCTGCCTCGTTCTGGCCGCTTTCACCGCCCAGCACAGGTGCAGCTGACTTGGCCAATGATGCCACCAGTGGGACTGAGTACGCCGGGAGTCTCGCCGTAGAGGTAGCGCGGACATTGGTGTGTCTGTCGGGGATCGGCGTTGAGAAGCGGGTCACGGGTGGGGCGAGGAGACGCGTGTCCAGACCATCAAAAATAGCGCTAGAAAAGATCAAAGGTTGAGTAGGGGGGGGTCTCATCAGGAGGCATGGCTACTCCGCCACAGCAACGGTGCATGAGAGACATGCCACAGAAGGATGTCGATTTCAACTTGGTTCCTGCGAGATCAACTCATTAAATACTTTGTGCAGGACAGTCAGCGGAAAGCCCGAAAAAAGAAAAGAAACATCATCGTTCGAGTGCGATGACGTTACCGAACCAAGGAACGCGAACAGCTACCCCGCACGACCTCAGCTGAGATATCGAAAGTACGAGGAAGCTGTCTGTTGCGTAGCAAGAATTGACAACAGTGATGCGCCAAGCCCGGCCACTGCCTGTTGAAAACAATAGCCACAGCGAAACAAAAAGCAGGTCGGGCATTAATCTTACGCAAAACAACGCAAATCGTTAATGTAGACATACACGTACCTGCACAAGAACCTCAAGGCCTCGGTGGCGACGGCAGGGCTCTCGTAGCGCCCGTCAAGCGCCGCTCGCACACACGCTTCAACAGCTTCCTCCTCGTCCTCCTCTTCTCTCCCCCCGACAACGACACTTTCTCCCGCACGGGCCGAGGATCCCCCGCTTCCCGTCGGCGACTCGTCCCCCTGTTCCGGTCCCCCCGCTGGCGCCGGCGAATCTCGAGGGGCGGAGGAAGACGCGGGCACGAGAAGGCCGCGGTCGACCACGGCCAGCTCGGCGAGGACCCCAAAAGAAACCGCTCGGACAGTCGCATCCCGGTGGCAGGCCAGCCGGAGCGCCCACTCTAGCCCGGTCTTGTCCCCGGCGCCACCGCCACCGCTACCGCCTTCGCCACGACGACCTTGACCGAGCGCCGATGGTTGTGGAACCCCCCGACCCGCGAAAAACGTCACGGGGACGGGCGACGTGGGCGAGCTCTTCGTCGTTTCCAAGCTGCCGTTCCCGTCGGACATGGACGACGGTGTCAACGATGGTGAAAGCGCAGCAGCGGCGAGGACGGTCTCCAGGGCCACGAGGTTAGCGGCGAGGGAAGCCCGGCCGCGGAAGCTATCGGGGGAGCGGTGTGTGGAGGCGTGCCGGACCAGAGACTGTTGTTGTATAAGGGTACGGGTGTGACAAAATAAAGAGTTCGAGTCCATGGGGCGGTGGAGGGAGGGTACATATACGTGCAGTACTCCGGGCAAAGAGCGGCGCTGAAGGGAAGGCAGGTTGAGGGGGATTCGTCAGATTCCACAGGGGTATTGGAGGCTGTCGCGGTTGCTGGAAACTAGGAACAGTGAGCAATTCGATCGGTGTCGCTGTGCGAACGAAAAAGAGGCAACCGGCCGCGAGAAAAAACAACTCCGCTAAAAGGATCTCGACCAGATACAGCAAACAAGGACCATACCGGTGTTCCTGCATATACGCCGAACCACACGGGGGTACGCGAACCCCCGATCCGAACCCCTCTAGACCCGTCTACTCCTAAAATCACGCGTACAACCAGGCTCACCCGCACAATCATTCCCAGCAGCGGGGTAGGCTCCGGCTCAGAGAGGTGCTGTGCCGGTGATGACTCGCCGCCCCAGCCGGCCGCCGCGAGAAGGTTCTGTGACCCACCGCCAAGCTCGTAGTGGTCGCTCACCGGGGGAGGTACGTGAAGGCTTGCCCAGGACGCGACAGCGGCGGAACCGGTCCTGGGTCGCCTGGCCAGGCCCGTCAGGAATTCCGCCGCGAGTCTCCTGGAGGAAGGAACGGCACGGAAATGTGGTATTGTGAGGGGGACAGAGGTGGGTGCGGAAACGTGTAGAAAGACGCAATGACGACGATTGATGGTAGGTAAGGTAAGAGCCACCTGGAGCAAGGTGGGTCGCCTGGAGGAAGGGCCAGGTATTGCTACGGGGGTAGAGGCAGGTTCGGAGATAGTGAGACGACAAGAGGACAAGAACAATCCGCCAGGAGGAAAGCTACAAGAGAAGCAGACGCGAACGCTCGGTCGCGCCAATCATGAAATCTAGGAAACGCCAGGGCTCGAATCGTTCCTGCAAATCGAGCAAGAAGCGGTGGCGGTGGGTGTATCATGTGCGAGAGGTGTTACTGCCGCTGCTGTAGGTATCATGTGGCAAGCGCCGTAACCGGCGCTCAATCCGATGACTGCACTTGACAAACGCCAAGTCTACTTGGGACAAAGATTCCAGCCAAACTCCCTTCCCAATTCCCCCTCGGCTGGTTCTCCGTGACGCCATCCGACAGCAAACAAAGGTGTCCAACAGCAAAAAAGTACCAAACATGCAAGGACTTCAGTGCGCCCAGGTCTCGGCTCACCTGGCCGTCAAAGGCGTGCTGCCATCTTCCGCGTCTCCCCGCTCCCACCAACTCCACCCAATAACGCCAACAGCCCTCCCTCCCAAGAACTCCCCCCAGATGACAGCCGGTAGCGATGACGCAGCCAGAGAGACTGCAGCCTCGTCCGATCCAGGGCGGGAGGAAGAGACCACGGCTACCAGAAGTTCCAGAACCGACTCCCTCAAACCGCGTTTCGACTTAGCGGAGTTGAAGGGGGGGGGGGGTTCGA